CTCGTCACCGACGCTAGCGACATTGCTGTGGGAGCAGTACTGGTGCAGGACTTGGGGAACGGCCTCCAGCCAATTGCTTATGAGTCCCGCAAGCTTCACCCGCCCGAACGCAACTACCTGATACACGACCGCGAGATGTTGGCGATCGTGTACGCATTCAACGTGTGGCGATGTTACCTCACGGGAGCAGACGTAATAGTACGGACAGACCACCGATCACTACGGTACCTCCGCGCCCAACCGAATCTCAACTCGCGATAGATCCGTTGGTTGGACTATCTGGAGTCCAGCTTCCACTACACAGTCACGTACAAAAAAGGCGCATCGAATATCACCAATGCACTCACACGCCCCACCGCCCAACTCCACGCCATCCTACTCGCCCAAACCAACCCACTGCTAACAGGCCTATTCACCCACGGATACAGTACCGACCCACTTTTCACGACCGGAAATTCACAGCAACTGGCAGAAGCTAAAGGAGACTATTACGTAAAGACAGGCACCAACCGCATCTGTGTACCCGCATACTCACTACTGAGGGAACTACTACTGCAGGAGGCACACGACGGAATTACCTCGGGACATTTTGGGGTAGAAAAATCGCGACAGCAACTGCAACGGTATTACTACTGGCCGGAGCTGTTGACCGACGTACAACACCGCGTGGGCTCGTGTCCTACGTGTTAGGTGATGAAGAGCTCGCGAAAAAGAAAGGCGGGTCAATTGTAGCCGTTTCCACCGCCCGAGTGCGCCTGGCTGCTTACCATGGATTTCGTCACGGGGTTACCTTCGAACCCTGGGGGTAACGACGCAGTTATGGTCGTCGTTGACAGGTTGACGAAGATGGCACACTTCGCTGCGTGCAAGAAATTGATCTCCGCCGAAGAAACCGCTCGCCTGTTCATCGCAGCCGTCATTCGACTGCACGGGATACCAGCCGCAATAATCAGTGACCGCAACAGAGAATTCACCAGCAACTTCTGGAAGAACCTTTAAGCAGTTCGGGACCTGGCTACAGTTCAGTTCATCGTACCACCCCGAGACCGATGGTCAAACGGAGTGGACCAACCAGATGATGGAGCAGTTGATTCGGGCCACGTGTGACGACCCGACAACTTGGGAGCAGCAGCTGCCACTGATCGAGTTCGCCTATAACAATGCCACGTAAGCTGTTATGTGATGCTATCATTTGCATTCACGTCTGTATGCCTCCCATCATATGTTCGTGCGTTGCATGCGTGGTGTGAGCGTGTGCAAGAATTTGTGACTCATGTGGTTTGGATTCTCTGAGTTTGTGTGAATGATATTTTGCTTGAGCAGATATTGACTCCTCTGCTCAAGAGCTTTCCGTCGAGCCAAGTATCGCTTCAATCGGATCACAAACAAGAAAGTTACGAACATTTGAAGTTCGTATGCTTTTGATATTTGGTTGTGGTGACTATGGGAAGTTGTGGGGTTGACTCCATAAGGGGTACAAACTTTTGGGGGTTGGGAAATTCGTCAGCATCACTTTAGATGCTGCCAAGTGGTTGGGAGAAGCCAAACCAGGTTGGCAAGTGTGCCAACTTGGGTGAGGTGGATTGTGGAGGTTGGGAAAGTGACAAAGGACAAAGTTGGGGTGCTTATTGGGAGGGAAATTGTGTGGCATGGGGTTTTCCTTGGTTGGGGACTCTCTTGGGACCTTCCCTCTCGTCCTCCTCTTCCCCCCTACCTGGTTTCTAGCTACTCTAATCCTTGTGTGTCAATCTTGTGAGTCTTTTGTGATTGAGTTAAGATTCTATGGCAGCATACCCCCCTGTGCGCTGAAATTGATAAGTCAAGATTTAATTCATCTTTTTGTACGATTCAACTTGGGAGCTGTAGCCACGGAATAGAGCTACAAAATATCCGAAATTGGTGAAGTTTTGACGATGCGTTTTTCGTCGATGGCGTTTCTTGTAAGCGCGACTATTCTGTCCAGAAATTGAGACCAACAATTTTGTGATATTTCGGCTCCTAATCTTCATAGACTCCGTCCTTAGTCTCTAACATCAGCAACGATGCAGCAGTCCCCGTTCTACCTGAACTATGGGCAAAATCCTACAGTGCCCATGACGCCGAGTCCGGACAACCCAACACCACGTGCCCAACAATTCGCCGAGATTCTGCAAGCTGCCCGCACCAGAGCCGCCGAAGCAATTATAAAAGCAAATGTCATTGCTAAGCGCAACGCTGACCGCCACCGCCGCCCAGTTACGTACCAGTCAGGAGATTACTTACTGCTCGACACACAGAACTTAAGACTGCCCGTCGTACCGAAATTACGACCGCACTACTGTGGACCCTTCCAAATCAGCCACATGATCACCCCAGTAACCGCCCATTTACTGTTGCCGACAGACTGGTACGTCAGCCCATCATTCCACGTCAGCCTGCTTCGACCCTACATCCCAACCACAAGCCAACTGCCTCGTCACCGCCCGCCATCCATGACTCGCCCTGCATCGGAGCCGATCATCGAGCCCGAAAAAATTCAGAGCCATCGGATTCGACACCCTACGGGAATCAGGAGGATTGAATTCCTCGTTCGCTGGAAGGACCGCACGCCAACTGAAGATAGCTGGGTGCCCTTGGCCAACATCGAAAACCACCCTGCTCTGCAAGTGTACCTGAGGAGCCGGGGTTTCCGCGATATACACGCACTCGCGTAGCGGAGGGGGCTTTTTGAGGGGGGAGGAAGTGTAAGGAATTTTCTCGACATTCCCTAGCGCATCCTGCAACATCGCGTACAGTAGCAGCCGTTGTTCGCCCCTTACTACTAATGGGGCTTCGCCGACTTCGCGCGCACTGTTTTCACCAAACCATGCACCGCTGGCCCGGCCGTGTCGGCCTACGCTTCGGGACTAGCCCGAGCCTCGATGCCAGCCTAGCACTAGCTAGCTCGCACGCACCGCGTTACCGTTTGCATGTTTTGCATATAAATGTCCGCTCATGCCTTCGCTCACATTTTGTACTCGTTTGACACTTAGTGCAATCCTCGATACCTCGATTCATTGCACCCGTAACAAGTGGGCTTTATTATCTTTTTAGGATTTCTTTATGGGAAAATATGTCAATGGTAACTTACATGGGGCGCTATAACACGTACGGTAATGATTTCAACGCGTTTGGTAACTCGCTTAACACGTTTGGTAACTCGCTTAACACGTTTGGTAACTCGCTTAACATGTACAGCGCATCTTGACAGTCGGCGGTGGCAAGCAGGCAAGTGTTCAATATATTCGGCCTTTCATCAACACCCAAATTCATTGACGACTCGAGCCATCAAATTCGTGGCGTGGCGACGCGGATGTCTGTTGATGACCCCGCCTTCTCCAACCTTCTCTTCCTCTCCCCTACCCCATGCCAGGCTCGTCAAAGTGCTGTTGTATTTTTCATTTCGTCCGTTCTTTCTCCTCCCATCTCTCGTTCCACCTCTCTTCTATCTCGCCGCCATGGAAGGCCTGCCGGACAACGATGCTTCTCCTCAAGGTGGCACAGATGAGCCACCTTTACCGGCGAAACTCACGTAGCCTACCTTGCCAGAGAAAGCTTCAGATGCCCCCCGATCTGGGCTAGATTTTCGTAGAGCTAGCGGTCCTCCAGTAACGCCCGATCATCCTAGGTCTACCGTTCACGACTCTGCAGCTAGAGTCGCCGCCACTCCCTCTGACTCTCGCCGTCCCGCCGCCTTCACTCTACCTCCAGCTATTGCTTCTTGCAGGAAGGATCCCCCACCGCCCTCGCCAAGTCCAACTCCTATCACCGTGCGGGTGTCAGTTGGTCCGCCGTCTACTTCTTCCACTCCCAAGCGAGCGCAATCTGGGAAGTGGGCGCAGAGTACTCTGGTCGTCGGTGGCCGCCGTGTTCCACAGCCTGATAAGCCGGCAGATCGTCCACCTGATGTCGCTGAGCTCTCGGAGGAAGGTGATATCCCAGTCCGCGCGAACACCGGCTCGCCCGCGCTCAGCAAGATGCAGCTGAGAGAGCAGATGTATTTGGAGGCGAGTATAAACTACGAGACGAAGTGGTCTGGCGTGTTTTCGTGGCTGGTGTTCGGGAAAACCAAGGATGGTTTTCCCTATATGAAGTGCAGCATCTGCATGTCGTACGGCAAGGAGAACAAGAAGTACGCAAGGCAAGGAGATTACGGTGGCCGTGACTTGCAGACGCATTCGTTCAGGGCGCACGAGCACACAGACGCACACACGGCGGCGGTGCTTTGGCAGATGAAGATTGCGCAGGGCATTTGCGAGGGTCGGCAGGTGATTTCGGCCTTCATCAACTCGGACTTCGAGGGGCGGCGCGCGATTCGACTCATGCGGTCGGTTCAGTTTCTGTGCCAGTGCAACGCGCCGATCAGCATGTTCCCGAAGCTGATGCAGCATCTTGCGGAGCAGGACACGCCTGGCATTCCAAGGCAATCCTACGGGGTCCACGGTATGTCGCACGTTTGGTGTGTTGCTTAGTTGAGCGAGCTGCGTTTGCTTGTTTTCCTGAACAGTGACTAACCAATTTAAGTATTAACTGCGCAGGTACAGCTTCTAGCAGATGGTCCACAGAATCAGCACTTACCTCACACGGGTGCAGATGGATCACATCCTATCTTCCCCGTTCCTGGGCATCAGCTGCAACGAGAGCACCGACCGGACGCGAGGAAAACACATGATTGTTTACCTGATGTTTATGAAGAATCGCCAAGTTGCATGCGAGTTCTTTACCTTGCTGACGGTTGAGAGGTGTGATGCAGGATCTCGGTTTGAGTTGCTCTTGAACCATCTCCGCCCCTCAGCCGTCGATGTGTCCAAGATCGTTGGCATCAGCACGGACGGGGCGTCGATCATGACGGGGAAGGATAACAGATTGTTGGCGTGTCTTCGGGAACACGTCCCGCACCTTTTTTCCTGTCACGGCATCGCCCATCGGTGTGTATGCTGATTGTTCTGCATACCCATGTACGTGGGATAACTGTCCTAAACATGTGTTTAATTACGTCCCGTGCGTCCTACAACGAGGCCCTGGCCGTGAAGGACGCTGCTGAGTCAAATCCGGACCTGGAAATGGTCGACAAGGTGGTGCGCACTGTGGCGACACTAGTCGGAGCCTCAAGCGCCTGGAGACAGCGGTTCAAGTACCTGCAGCGAGTGATCTACAACATGAATCTTGAGGTCAAGGGCATCCACACAGTTCGCTGGCTGTCACGGGGGGATGCGGTTCGCCGGCTGTGCAAGGTCCCCGGCGCATGCATCGTGCTACTCTGGGAGCCAACCACAAGGCCTACGAGATTGTGACGTGCTACAAGTTCCAGTTTTGCCTGTTTTTCCTCGCGGACATGAATGGCCTCAACCGTTGCTTCCAGAAGCGCGAGATACGATATTAAACCTGTGTGTGATGGCATGCGATTGTACATATTGTTTTGTAGTGTTGCTAACTGCTATACCTGTTTCCGATGTATGCACAACAGTTGGATGTGACAGAGATTGCGAAGACCGTTGAGTCCACCACGGGGGATCTAACGGAGCGGTACTTGATGAACGGAGAGCCTTTTGGAGGAGAGGGCAAGAGCTGGCTGTTCAACTATCTCAAGCTCCACAAGGAGGGTGGGGGCAAGCAGGTCGAGGTGCGAGGCGTGGACGGGGAGGGACGCCCAATCAACCACCTCTACACCATTCACGAGAGGAAGCTGAAGGGGCACAAGCAGGGAAGCACCTACGCCGATTGCATGAAGTTGTGCCGCAACTTCGCCAGGGATTGCGTGGACAACCTGAACAACCGTCTGGACGACCTGGGGAAGCTAGGACGGACGAAGCTGTTCCGGGCAGGGAAGTGGCCGAAGATAAAGGCTCAATGAGAGAAGAAGTGCCGTGAGTGGCTGCAAGGATGCAGCAAGCTTTTCTGCAACAAGCTGCCTAGATTTGACCGCAAGGCAGCAAAGAGAGAGCTCCCGACATTCTGTGCGATTATGGAGACACACCACGAGTTGGAGAGCTTCTCGCAGGGCTTGACCAACTTTCTCGCCAGTGCAGACTCCAAGAGGTATCGCTCTGTTCTGGTCATTGTTGTATGCGAATGATAGTTTCGTTTAACGTTCGTTCTCTTTGGGTGGTTGAATGTGCCTCTCGTTCTACACCGCACTCCAGGGGCTAGACCAAGAGGCGAACGAGGCCCTACTGCAGTACCTTCACCTTGAGCAGCAGAAATGGACCAAGGCCTGGATATGGGAAGTTCTGGTTTATGATGAGGCTCGCAAACGTGATGCTGGTAGAGGAGTTGAAGGGGGGATGGGGGCAGGTAATAGGGCGGCCTCCAAGAAGTACCAGCAGTGGCAAGGAGGTGGGGGGAAGAAGAAGGAGCTCGACAAGTGCCTCGTCCCTGGATGCAACCTGAAGCACACTTGGAAGGAGTGTTGGAGCCAACCAGATGGGTGGAAGCCTCAAGGGTACCCAGAAGAGGCTCCACCTGTCACTAGGCCTGAGTGGGTGGAGAGGAGGATGAAGAATGAAGCATGGAACAAGAAGGGCAGCAAAGAGAAAGCGGCAGCAGCGGCGGCAAACGACGACAAGAAGGGAAAGGAGGACTCATTGGATGATGGTTTCTCCTTCTTATCCTTGGAGAAGGAGACGGCGCTTGATGGTCGTATGTTGGCTAACCTCAATTAGCTCATTCTAGACTTTGGGGCAACCTGTAGAATGGTACCTCGGCGCGACCTCTTCACCACCTATCACTCCCTCCCACATAACTCTAAGAATGTGATTGTGGGGAGCGGAGATACACTGCAAGCAATCGGCATCGGCACCATCAACGTCAAGGAGAAGGAGGGGGGGGTGCTGAATGTGAAGGGTGTGCTTCATGTTCCTAGATTGGCAGCCAACCTTCTCTCATGCTCTCAACTTGCGAGGCAAGAATACATATGCACCTTCACCATGGGAGGGTGCACGGTTCGCAAGGGTGAATCTGTGGTGATGGAGGCCAAGTTAGAGAAGGGTCTATACCTTGTTCCAGTTTGTGGGCCTCAGGTGGAGAAGGCACATGGTGTTGAAGCCGAGGAAGCCGCTTGTAGCACCCGTTGGAGGGACGTGGAGCAGGTGACGGCAGATTTGCTACACCTACGCATGGGGCATGTGGGAAGGCAGCAACTTGTGGAGTGTGTGAAGAAGGGCGAGCTGAAGGGTGTGGAGATCAAGGAGGGTTGTGGGCAGCAAAACAAGTGCCATGATTGCACGACCGGAAAGCTGCAAAGAACCTCCTTCCTTACCTCCACCACTAGAGCCTCCGCACCTCTTGAGTTGGTGCACACAGATGTGTGTGGCCCCATGCAAACACCGGATAGGGAGAAGGGCAGCAAATACTTCATCACCTTCTTGGATGACTACAGTCACCTAAGTTGGGTTACCTTGGTGAAAGCCAAGGATGAGGTGGCCAAGGTCTTCAAGTGTTAAATACGCTATGCGGAGAGGGAAGCCGGGGCTAAGGTGAGAATACATAGGTCTGACCGGGGTGGGGAGTACATGGGGAAGGATCTGGAGTCTTTCCTTGAAGACAAGGGCATCACCCACCAGCTTTCAGTTGCCTACACGCCGCAGCAAAATGGGGCAGCGGAGAGGCTAAACCGGACCCTCATTGACTTTGCCCGAGCCATGCTTGCTCATGCACAGTTGGACCATACTTGGTGAGGGACAGCAGTGCAATATGCCAACTGTGTTAAGAACCGGATGGGCAGCAAGGGGCTAGGGGACAAGAGCCCATACTTCATGTGGACCAGGAAGGTGCCTAGTGTGTCCATGGCACGAGTGTGGCATGGTGCAGTACAAAGTGCCCGACCAGCAGTGAAGGAAGCTGCATTCTAAGGCACAATGGGGCATTTTCCTTGGGGTGTCAGAGAGGAGCAAAGCTTGGATGTTGTGGAGTGTGGCGTATCAGCGGGTGGTGGAAAGCCGGGATGTAGTTTTCCACGAGGAGCTGAGCTACAAGGGGTGGAAGGAGCATGGTGCTAGTACAGTTGGGAGCTCCCTCTTGGATCCCTACACCTCTTCCATCTTTGAGGGGGGATGGGAGGTCCCTAAAGAGGAGGTAGAGGAGTAGCAAGAGGAACAAAAGGCAGCTGCACCTCACCATGAGGAGTCACCAACTACTGGTCCTACCCCTGATCCTAACGCACCAGCCCATGACCCGGAGCAGCCACAGGGGCAGCAACTGCAACAAGAGAAGCCGCAACAGCCACCACAGCAGCATACACCGCTTGTTTCTGTGGGTAGGTGGCAGCAACTACTGCAGCAGCAACTGTCCAAGTCACCACGATCCCCCATGAAGAGAGTGACTTGAAAGGAGAAGCAGCAAAGTTTGGAGCAGGGAGAGGCATCACCTTTGCGCCGCACCACACGCATCTCCCGACCACCTGAAAGGTTCACACAAAGTGCACAGTATGCTTGCATGCTTGATCATGCGGTGCATGATTTGGAGGAGTGCATGCTTGTGGATGCTGAGGGGGATGAACCTGGGCTTGATTTTTGTCTCATGGGCCAGGTGCATGAGCCTAAGTCGGTCAAGGAGGCCTTATCCCGTCCTGAGTGGGTCGAGTCCATGCGTGAGGAGCTTGAGTCTCATAGGGTGAACGAGTCTTTCGAGCTGGTTGATCCAGCTTGTGTGCCACCTGGAATGGAGGTCTTGAGGTGTCAGTGGGTGTGGAAGTATATGCACATGGCCGATGGGAGTATTGAGAGGCCTAAGTCCAGGTTGGTGGACATGGGGAACACTCAAACACGAGGTGTTCACTATGACCAGGTGTATACCCCGGTGGGTAAACCTACTACCCTGAGAGGTTCCCTAGGGATGGCAGCATCTTCGGGGTTTCACATCCATCATATGGATGCGACCACTGCCTCTCTTCATGGGGTCTTGAAGGAGGAGCTTTACATGAGGCAGCCCCCTGGTTTTGATGATGGGTCCGGCAGGGTTTGCCGACTTAGAAAGTCAATCTATGGGCTAAAGCAAGCTCCAAGGCAGTGGTGCCTCAAGTTTTATGAGGCGTTGATGGATTTTGGGTTTGAGAGGTCGGAGTGTGACCCCGCCTTGTACCACTTGGTGAGGCGTGAGGGCAGGCTGTCCCTCTACCTCTATGTGGATGACATTCTGCTCATGTCTTCGAGCATGGTCTTGCTGGATGAGGTGAAGAGTTTCTTGTCCTCTCGTTTCCGTATGAAGGATTTGGGGGAGGCTAAGTACTATTTAGGGGTGCAGATTGAGCGTGATGAGAGTGGCATCTTGATTCATCAGGAGAGGTACATTCTCAACATGCTTGAGTCCTTTGGCCTTTTTGAGGCTAACCCCGTGCGTACCCCTCTCCCTATAGGGTTCGACGTGCATGCACATGCTGAGGAGCCCTTGCTGCGAGATGAGCTGGTCCAACTCTATCAAAGCATTGTGGGGTCTCTCATGTATGCAAGCACGACCACACAGCCCCAGATTGCTTATGCAGTGTCACAGCTGTCCAAGGTGGTGTCTTGTCCCAAGGCATTTCACCTGCAGGCTGCTAAGAGAGTGCTACGGTACTAGAAAGGTTCTGTCAAGTCAGGTATCTTCTACCCCGCACACAGCCAGCCTCAGGTTGAGTTGGTGGGCATTAGTGATGCTGATTATGCTGGAGATTCAGCTGATTGCAAGAGTCATACCGGCTATGTCTATTGCCTCAACGGTGCAGCCATCTCTAGGCAGAGCAAGAGGGAGCCGGTGGTTGCATTGTCCACCACTGAGATTGAGTACATAAGTGTCATTCAGAGCATTCAAGAGGGTGTGTGGCTGAGACGTTTGTTTGGGGAGTTTGGGCATGAGTTTGCTGGTGGTGTGCCTGTGTTTGTGGACAACCAGTGTGCCATTGCCCTTGCACAGAATGCATGCTTGCATGGCTGCACCAAGCACATGCAGGTTCGGTGGCATTTCATCATGGAGATGGTGGCAAGCGGCGAGGTGATCCTCCGGTGGTGCCCAACCAACTGTCAAGCTGCAGACATACTCACCAAACCCCTTCCCTTTGAGCGGCACGGTGTGTGCATATCCTTGATGGGGATGCAGCCCCATGTTGGCATGGTGCCTGAGCAGGATGTGGGAGGGTTGGTGCTTCTATGCCTTGACAACATCATGCTGTGGATGGCGCCCCTCCCTGGGCAAGGGGGAGTGGAGTGAGGATTTTGCCTAGTGGTGTTCACCCACCTTCAGCACGAGCAAGGGGAAGTGTTGACTGTGTAGATGGTTGTGGTATTTTGCTCTTGCTGGTTGTGGGCTAAGTGTTTGGGCAAAATGTGCTTGCTAGACTTGTTGCGGGCTGGAATTGATCTCGAACCAAACAAGCACCAACAAACCTTTGCTATTCACTACAATACCTTTAGTGTTGCTAGTTTGGCACTTTGGTTTGTTGGGGATTGTTGTAGGGCGAGGGTTGGGTTGGTAGGGATCAACTCGTCACTTTTCAGATCTGAACTCTTGCTAAAGCTACTTTCTTGATCTAATCCATGCCTGCCAAGTAATACCGCCAGGATACCCCGTCACACTTAAATCGCGATAGCGATCGGCCTAGATCTTGGTTGAAGACGTGCGTTATCATTCTGGAAATTAGAGATTAAGACCTTTTCAACGTGTACCTGCTCATAGTTTAAGGTTACATGAGCTGCACGCAATGTTCCGTCGAAGACGGCGGGATTAGTTGCGCCCAAGTGAGGGCGGGGCCTTTCTCTTCGACACTCCCCTGCTGAGGCCAAGCTTGGGCACCAATACACATACTAGGCCCACCCAGAACCTTTATAATAGAATACAAGGGGGATACTTTGCCAGCCATGGAAAAGGACGTGGCGTCTGTTT